GGGAGTGTGCCTAACACGAATCTTGCCCTTCCTGACTCATAGTGTTGTTATTGGGATAAAATTTGCAAATGAATACCAAAGGGCCTTATGATGTGCTTACGTGAATGAGTTCTCATTATGTACTATGTTCCCAGGATTGTGGGAGAAAATACAGGCTTGCTGTTTTAAGCCACTAAGTTGGGATGGGGCGGGGAGTGGGGGGTGTTATACAGCAATAGATAATTATTAAATCATGATGCATAATAAGAGCTGGTTTTATAGAAATTAGTTGTTCTGTGTGTTGACTAGACTCACCTGGATGGTTCTGCTCCACTCATGTTCACTGGGGCTGCAGTCATCTGGGAGCTTGATTAAACTAGAATTTCCAAGATGGTGCACTCTTGTCAATAGCTGGAAGACTGGGTTCAGCTGGGGACACTGGGATGGCTGGTCTTCTGTCTTTCTCTCTTTCTGTTTCTCTCTTTCTCTCTCTGTGTCTCTCTGTCTCCATGTGGTTGTAGGGCCTTTCCATGTGGCCTCTCCATGTGTGTTTCCATTATAGTAGTCAGATTTTATTACATAGTGGCTTAGGGCTTCCCAAAATCTAAAAGCAAGAACTTCTAGGCCTTCTTAAGTCTTCAGCCTGTAGCTGGCTCAGTGGCACTTCCTCATCATTCTGTTGGTCACTGTGAGCCACAGAGCCAGCCAGATTCATTTTGGGAGGGGACCATGCCCACCTGTGTCTTCTTAAAAAAAGGTAAATGACATATGCAAGTGTAAAATGGATATATTGGCAATAGGTTTAGAAAAGGACAAGATCATTGCCAAATGTCAAGGGAGGCTTTAGCCAGACAAGAGGGTTTATGAGGCCAACTAGCAGGTGAAGTGAGGAGAGGAGAGTGGACAGAAAGAAGGTTGTGTCCAGGCAAGTTTCAAGTCTATTGCCAGGTGATGATGATGGGAACACATGGTGCAAGGGGAGGGGAGTGAGGACCATTGAAGTAAAGGGACTTAGAGAATTTAGTAGCTGGATGATGACAGGACATGGGCCACAGAGAGTAGAAGGATAGGAGGCCAAGGTGTTGGATACTAAGAGAAAGACAGTCCTTAGAAGTCATCTGGAAGAGGATGTTGACTTGCCCAGAGAATTTCAGAAGTTATAAAAGATCTCATTATAAGAGTCTGCCCATAGTCAAACTAACCCTTTCTGACTGTCCCCAAATTTACACTCATCTGTCCCATCTTCCATGCAACCATACATTTCTCCAGTCTTTACCCCTGTCAAAAACCCTTGTCTTTTCATGAAACTTCTATCCTCACCTATTTCTTCTGTAAGTCATACCAGTTATACCTCACCCATTACTCACATTCCCAGAGTTGAGCATGCCCAGTGTGAGATCGCACACAACTCACACAGTTCACTCACTGACACCAACACTCACACACCACACCCACACACTCATTCACAAACACACACATATACTCAAACTCAACTCACACACACATATACAGCTCACCACACATTTACACACTTACAAACACACACACACACACATGCTTATCACTCATACACTCCTCTTAGTTTCACATAGTGAAAAGAACACAAGAACGGATGTCAGGAGACTGAGGCCTGCCCACTTTTACTACTTTACTCAGTTTTCATTTCTGTAAAATGGGGAGGAGCTGAGTTAGATGATCTTTAAATTCCTTGCTACTTTTCAAAGTCTGTGGTTTTATAATTTCCCCTCCTCCCTCCCCATCCAGGCATTCCAAAGCTTGAGTGGAAATGGGATGGGGGGTGGGGAGGAGAAAGGGAGGCAGGTGAGCTGGGGGGCTTATTTTCTGGGATCTGAGCAGCTCTGGCCTTAAACATGGTGGCAATCTAAACACGTTCCCTCCAGGTGGCCGCTAGAATGAGCCGACCATGCATCTTCCCCTTCATCTTCCCCTTCAGTTAATCCTTTTATCTTGGAAATACAGGGTCCATGTCCCTCAGGGATTCCATTCTCCCTCTGCCTTCCCCTCTGTGCCTCCTGGGAAGATATTCTCCTTTTTTCCCAAAGTTCTTCTCAGGTACAGAAAAGGAAATGGCTATAAAAACATGTAATTTCCATGTTAACTAATTGGAATTTAAATAAAAATTTAAAAAATGTAATTTCCATATTTTCACTGATGAAACTGAAATAGTTACAATTCTTAGCTTCCCCTTCTGAGTCGTGAGTGTCACTGCTCTCCCCTTTCCTATAGCCTGAGTCTGTCTCTTCATTTTGTGCCTAGAAAAGTTCTCAACTTGGTCCTCGCTGGGCCCCCTGCCACATTTGGACATCATTACCTTATTTACATTTGTAGACAATAGCCCAGAGTAACAGACCTGCCAACCCCCTACAATGCCAGCCTGTCTCTCCTGTTGCTCTACACTTATTTTACAGAATTATTTAGAAATGGTTCTGTTAACCCCAGGTAGAAACCATCACCTGAAATTGAAATCTTATGGGTCATGTCTTTTGATCTTTTTCTAGAAGGTGCTAAGACAGAAACAAGCAAAGCCACCACAGAGCCTGAAACAACGCAGCCAGAAGGAGTGGTGGTCAACGGGAAGGAGGAAGAACAGACCGCAGAGGAAATTCTCAGCAAGGGCTTGAGCCAGATGACCACCAATGCTGACACAGATGTTGATACCTCTAAGGACAAAACTGAGTCGGTCACCAGCGGCCCCATGTCCCCAGAGGGCTCACCTTCCAAGTCTCCCTCCAAAAAGAAGAAGAAATTCCGAACCCCGTCCTTCCTGAAAAAGAGCAAAAAGAAGGAGAAAGTGGAGTCCTGATTGGTAGCATTCTCATCTGCACCCTCTCTCTCCACCCCTTCCCTTCTCCCAACTTTGTCCCTAGAAGCACAGGGCCAACAAAGGATAGAATAGGACCCTGGATCACACTCTGAGGGGGAACTTAGAGATCACCCAACCAACCCCTCATTTTACAATTGCCCCAGAGAAATCAGGTGACTTTCCCAAGGTCACACAGCTAGTTAGTGGCAGAGCCAGCACTAGAATTCGGGTCTCCTGGCCCCTAGTCCAGTGCTTTTTCCACTATATAACACTGCCTAGTTGTGGGCCGCCTTTGTGAGGTTGCTGCCCACCAATCTGAGCCCAGGGCAGAAGGCCAGAGTGGGCTGCAAGCTCGCACAGCCTCAGACCAAATCAGACAGGTCGAGGCTTCCCCTGAGAAAGGTCCTTTTCCTTGCGGGAATCCAATCTCCTGCTGATGGAGCTGTCACAGTTTAGAAATCTCTCTTTCCCACAGGGTCCTTGCTCTGCTGCTCACAGTAACCAGACAAATTGACCTGTTCCCTCCACCAGAAGTTAATCTTTGTTCCCAAGGGCTGATGGCTTAGCTCATGCTTCCCCAACCACTAACCCTGAGCTTTCTTCATGGAACCTCCTGAATGACGGATGGATGAAGAATTGTAAGAGCGGGCAGACGTGAGGGCAAGCCAAGTCAGCCACAGGATTCGAGTAGTTTAATCAATATAAGAAGCCAGGAACTTGGCCCATTTGAATCGTGCATCTCAGGCGCTTCAAAACTAAAACCAAATTTAGCTTAGAGAAAAGTTGTCTCATGCTCAGGGCAGAAATTTGGGGAAATTTAGATCCTCCTTTGGCTTTGGGTTGTACAAGGAGGATCAAAACAACACAGGAAATGCTATGCCTTTCTAGCTTTGCATGACACACGGAGCAATGTGGCTCTACCTGTTTCACTCCTACCTGGCAGTCAGGTGTCCCCTGACTTCCCCGCAAACCTGGAACCTGGCTCACACACTGGAACTGGCATCTTACCCTTGGCTCCTTTGGGTTCCGACTCAGTCACTCTGGGTCCAGCAGAGGAGAATGAGATGAGCCCTTCAAGATTAAGTCTCTTGAATCATCTAGGAGAGAAATCAGCTTGAGTGTCCTCACCCTGTCACTATCTGTCCATCCTGGGGCCTAGTAAGAGCTATGGCTTTCGTTGTAAATGCCAGCACTACCTTTTCATATCCTTCCATGGGACATTGAGTAATAAGCATTGTTGGCTCCTAAAAAATAGACAATCCATTCTCTTTATAGCACAGTGTCTTCAAAGAGTATTTTTCCTTTTTGTCCTGATGATTGTGAAAGTACTTTTGAAAGTTCTTAATCATCGTTTTCCACATTTGGGCACTTACTTTCTATGTATAGACACTGTGCAGCCTTTACATTCGTTGCACCCTTTGACCGTCACAATAATCCTGTGATGTGGGTGAGGTATTCCCATTTTATGATTAAGGAAACTGAGCCCCAAAAGGACAATTGACTTGCTCAGGTGATGTGGCTAGAAAGATCAGAGCCTGGATTTGAGCCCAGCTCAGTCTGAGTCCAGAGCCTTGTTCTTAACAGTTGATGATGATTAGAAAACTTGAATCCCCAAGGATGGTTGTTTTAGTCCAGGACCCATTTCTGTGACTGGTCTCCACTGTGTAATGTCAGCAGTTGACATGAAAGCAGAAAACTACCCGTGTTCTCCCTCATCAATACACGTTAAGTTCCCAATAAACGTGGATTGTGGTGAGGCCAATGTGGGCCTCCAACAAAGGAGAGGCAGGAGCCGTCTGGTTGGGCCGGAGTATAGTTGGGCTATTTCTTAAGAAGGAAGGAAACTGACACCTGACTAAGGAGAACCCAGTGCTGCATCTCTCTAGTCAGATTCCTAACTGCTCCCCCACCCTCTACTTCATTCTACTTTCTGATTGGATCTTGTGATGGGCAAGCCAATGGTCAAGGGCATGTATGCCTCAGAAAAAGTCTGTGATGTGGGAAATGCCTTCAAAAGCCAATCCTCTGATGCCTTCTTTAAAAAAATAGATTTCACATTCATTCATTTATCCCTCACCATCTTTGTTGAGCACCCACTAAGCATCAGGCATTATGCTGTCATTAAAAGGAAATAATCATTGTAGCTAGAATAATCAGCAGGAAACAATGTTAGGAGTGGAGACAACATAACCGTTGACACAGCTTTTTGTGTTCAAGTGGTTGTAGCTCAGAGATGGTGTTGATTTGACTCTGCATTCAACAAATTCTCTTTATTCCCTTTACAACAATGAGGCCTCATAGGTGAAAATGCCAGAGCCTTGCTGGAGCATCATCCTTGGAATTTATGCCATGGGTCCACCTTACATTTATCCATTTTCTCATTCCTCATACATTCAAACAAAACAGCAGACCTGAAAGCAAAACATAGTCCCTGCCCACAGGAAGTTTTTAAGTGTAGGAGGCATGTAGACAAGTTACCAAAAGGGCAAGAGGGCAGAGATGGCATAAGGAAGTAATGATTTACTATCTTCTGGACCAGAGAAACTTTCCTGAAAGATGTGATGATTAAGTTAGGTTTTCAGACAAAGAGGAATTCTCCAGGAAGACAAAAGGGTTGTTGGAATATTCCTGATGAGGGAAAAGCACGTGCAAAGGCATGGAAGTGCAAGGCTCCATGACAGGTCCACTGAGTGATATAGTAATGCCAGAGCATAAAGTGTGAGGGGGTGGGAGGCTTTGTTTTATAGGTGGGAAGGGCTGGGTCAGAGAGAAACCTGTAGAAAATGTGCAACTAGATTTTATCATGTAGGGTGTTTGGAGTTGCTGATGGCTTACAGTCAGGATGTCATAATCAAGCTTGAATTTTACAAAAATCTCTTTGGCGGCTGGGTGGAGAATGGCCTGGAGAGGAGGAGAGCAGTGAAGGCACAGGAGATCTTAAAATGAGGCCTTTCTGAAACGTCAGCACTGAAACGTTCTTGGTGGCCTGCCTTACCTACATTTTCCTTTATAGCATATAGCATGCTTCTGGCACAGAATTTTACTTCCCTAAAATTCTTTGGATAAAGCATCTTAGAGATTTTCAACAAGGAGAGGGAAATATTCAAAGAGCTAATCCTTGGTGCAGTTTGCAGGTCTATTTTTGCCTTAGTGCAGAATTGCTACAAGAGCTTTTGAGTCATTCTGCCAATTTCTTCCTCCCTTGTATGCGCAGGAGGTGGGGCCCTTAGCTCTAGGCTTAAGGTGGTGCACTGGGTGCTATTGCAGGGGACATGCAATCCAAAAAAAAACCAGAGGTTTTTAGAGGAGAGGCCATTTTCTTTGGATTTGGATAAAAGTTGGCTGAAAACTTTTACCAGTATCCTTCTGGAGAAAATGCATCTATGGGGAGCTCAGAATGGGTAGGCAGTAGGTTCATTTCTAGTAAAGCCACTGGGCATGAATCTGCCACAGAAAGGGGTGAGAAAACACGAGCCAGTCTGCAGTGTTATGGATGGCTGAGCTGGGCAGAGGGAGGTTTTGAGGCTGTTTCCATGGGAAGACAGACTGGAGTGAGGTCGGGAGGCAGGAGACAGTTACAGAGACAAATTGGCTCCAGTGACTCTCTGTGCGCTGATGGCTGGCACCCAGCAGTGATGTGGGAGAACTGTCCACACAGTGTGGCCTTTCTCAAACTTTGCAAAAAGCTCTGCTAAGAGGCAAGCCTCCAGCCCAGATCTGTGCTCCATAAGGGCCTCCTGGCCTGTAGTGACCCAACTATCTGACTTTGTCCAGGTTACACACAGATTAAAAATAGCCTCCCTCAACAGTGCTGTAATGAAAATAGGGTTCTTCCTGTGCAGACAGAGAAGTTCTTCTTAAGGGACTTGCAGGGATTTGGATGAGCACCCTGGTCTAGTAAGAGCCCCACTAAAAACATTGCTCTCATACTATGGATTTATGTATACTGAGCCTTGAATCCTGCTCCCAGTGTCTAATGCACTGTCACTCCTGAATGTGGCAAGGCAGTCATCCAGAAGTCATTCGGCACCATTATAACAGGGCTATCACTCTTGTCAACATGCGGAGAAGCACTGTAAGGCCACTTCTCTGGTTACCATGGATTCGAAAGAACCATTCACCCAACACCACGATTTACTTCTGAAAGCTGAAAAGACCAAAAAGAAATTTGGAATTTTCCATGGAGGTATCCATGGGGGTGGATATACACATAGTCTCCCATTGGCCTGTAGGCCATCTTTTGCACAAGTGTATTTTATATGTTCTAGTTCCAGGCCAAGAGTATTCAGTTTTTGTTGAACAAATGAGAAAACATACAGTCCTTACTCGTTTTCCTTACACAGGTCAGCATAAGCCCTTGAATTGGTTGGTACAGTTGCTGTTGACACTCTGAGCTTAGAGGAAAACAGGTCTTGTATTTTCTCTCACCACTTGAGTCTAAGCAAACTCTCAAAGACAATAACATTCAAAGAGTCTCAGAAGAAATTAGGGAGGAGGTAAATCCACTCCCACAGAAAACACAGGGCACCCCCACAACTGTTCCCCATCTGTTCCAAAAGGGATGATTCAATGTGAAAAGTCAGAGGCCTGAACTGACCGATGAAATATGCTCATTGGTTATTTCTCTGTTGCAATCCCACTTGTGCCACAATATGAAAGAGCAGACACAGTAGAGTGATTATTGCCAAATGCCCTGTCTAGCCAACCTATCCACTTGGATGTGGCATACTTTCTGCCAGAAATAAAAGCATAGGTAGAGCCCTGTCACCAGGGCACATCCAACCCTCTTGAGCCTCTCAGTGAGAAGCCACCCTCACCCAGGAATCAGCGTGGGCATTTCAGGTGGGGTGTCCTTCTTTAGTGGAGAAATTTCCTTTTATCATTTTGTATAGATAGGTTACTCTCTTCAGGAACAATTAGAATCTCCAGTTGAGGGCTTTCTTAAAAATATGGAAGTGATGGTTCATATTGGTTCGTACTTGGGTTTTGCCAAATTGATG